CTTTCATACAGCATAGTAAGTGTGACTATACCACACCAAACTTACCATTTCTGACAGGCCCCTATGACAGAGACTACAAGCAGCTTACCAACATCCATGTCTTCCTCTTCTCCCTGAACACACAGCTAGACCACATTTCCTAGCCTCCCTCCCTTGTAACTAGATGTGGCCACGGGACTGAATTCCGGCCAGAGGAATGTGAGAAGAGTGATATGTGCTATTTCTAGGCCTGGCCCATAGAAACCTTCCAGGCCTGCTTCTGCGTGCCCCTCCACGCTCTTTCCCCGGCTCAGATAACTGGAGCGGCAATTCTCAGGGCCACCTCGGAAGTCATAGTTGAAGCTGGAGGAGCCTCCGTCACCCCGGGTCCCTGAAAAGCTTCCTGGAAAAGAGTCACCCCACCAACTTGTTTATCCGCCCAGGCCTATCCCTTTAACAAGAAGTAAACTCTTGTTGTGTTTTCCTCCTTATTCTTTAGTCTGCTCGTTAAGTTATCCGAGCATTACCTTAATAGAGTGCCCTTCATTATCAATGTGATAATAATAAATAGAGCAGAGCAGTACCCTAATACAGTACCCTTCATTAATGTGGACAATAATAAGTAACTCCACTTACAAGCGCAGTAATTCAGCCCAGGGAGATACCATCCACGTCAAATACCTGTGCTTCACAACCTTGCTCAAACTTCCCCCAACTTGACAGACTGGACAACCCCCTCACACCTGTACACCCCATGCAGGGAGAGATTCTCAAAGGTAGGGACTGCATATCACCTTTGATACTTACTGCAGCCTGGCACATAGTAGGTGCTCGAGGAAAGGGTGGATAAAAAATTGAGCTGCTGGAAAGATGAGCAGAGAGGGATTTCTGGCCAATCATCTCTTCCATGCTTTGTGGTATGGAATTCTGGAGTTTTGGGTGGGTAAGGAAGTTGAGAGGATTTGTCACCAGTATTACACAGTTTAATGATTTGTCATTAAACTGTATAATACATACAGTATAATACAACATTATACTCAATTATATTCCAATATAAAATAAAATTTGGAGTAAATCAATTATACTCCAATATAAAATAAAATTTAAAAAAATGCTAAAGCATGTTCTTCACAATGAAGGGAAATGACAACAGATAGAAACTTGGATAAGAATTACTCCTGGGACTTCCTGGTGGTCCAGTGGGTAAGACTCCAAGCTCCCAATGCAGGGGGCCCGGGTTCGACCCCCGGCCGGCGAACTAGACCCTGCGTTCCACAACTAAGAAGTCCATGTGCCACAACTAAGATCCAGTGCAGCCAAAATAAATATAAAGAAATCAATTAAAAGTATTGCAGCTGATGGAAGAGTGCATCACTTTCTTACACAGGCGAGGAAAAGAGATTGTGAGCCATGGGTCAAAATGGACCATTAGCCTCTAAGTTTTCTATCTGCTGTAAGCCACAACTTTTCAAATTAGAGGTTTAACCCAATAGTTGGTTATCTAATGGTTTGAAAACAGCATTTTTTTTCAATAGAATGGAATAGAATGGACGAGAAAAGAGTAAAACAGAAACGCCTCTGTTAAAAAAAAAATCAGAAACAATATAATAAATGCCCACATGAAAAATAATACTCTTTCTGAAAAGCTATTAATGAAACTACAGCCCATTATGCTAGGCAATGTCTTATATGTCACACAAATACCACTGTGCCATTCTTCTTAAACTTTAATGTTGATGAACGAATCTCCTTTTCTTAGGCAATGAGACCCACGGGACTTACTATCTCTTTTCTGTTCTGCCTGTCAGGAGGCTCATAGGTAAGTTTTCACTCAACTACAGGACCTATTCTTCTCTAGGTTTTGGTGCTATAATAATATGTTCCTAATCTTTCATTATTTGGCATTTGCTCATTTATCTTTGATTTAAGTTTTATTGCATCTAGGTTTTCTTTTTTTGTAATTTGTTTGAAGATTAATAAATAATAGAAATAATTACTGATATAGGCAAGAATAAAAATGGATTAAAAAGGAGTTAGGGTGAAGAATAATTACCAAAATATTAAAAACAGGTATTTTATTTATTTGCATTTCATTTTTTTTCACAATGGGCTTGTATCATTACTTTTTAGTTTTTAAGCTATTTTAATTAGTTAATGATGAACAATAGGCTAGAAAGTGGGAATTATCCCTTGGTCAGTGGGCCAGTCAGAAGATGCAAGGGTGCTTTATACCTGTGTTTGCTACACAGAGACAGGATCTGACCCTGGATCCTTGTGAGAATTGCCATCCTTTCGTAGTTTCAGCACAAGTTAACCTAGATGGAGAGCTGTCAGCCAGACAGACGTATAAATTATTTCCTTAAGAGTTTCCAGAGGAAGGGCAGGGTTGTCAGAAGGAGCCTAAGAAAGACCTCTAGTACATCTTGAAATGCCTGAAGTATGGACGGGGCTAATTTCTTCGGTTTGGTCTAAACAAGCCCAGGTTTGATCCTGGTTCCTCATTCTCATGTCCAACAACAGTGGACGTGGTTGCTACACTACTAGGATCAACTTAGGGCCCCCAGAATCCTGACAGGCCACTGTGTGCCCTTGTTGATCCTTGTAGCTCCAGCACTGAGTGTAATACCTGGCTCGGCAGGTGTGCTCTGAACTGCTGTGAGCTGCAAGCACAGGTGCATGGTGTGCAGATCCATTGAAATGATCGTGAGCCAGGTCTGCTAGAGCACATCAGACACTGGGCAAGTCCTCTGCCCCCAGTGGGTCAGTCTCTCCCACGTGCCTGTGAGCCACAGATGTGGAACTCAGATAACCCGTGCTCATTAAGTCATGTCCCCGGTGGAGATCACAGTGGCACATTGCCTTAGGAGTTTGGTGATGACAACCTGCCTTCCTGGGCTTGACCCCACTAAGTAAGTTAACCATGATGATCCCAGATTGGAAGTCGTGTCAAGGCAAGCCTTGCCTGGATTATGACCACAGCATCACCTACCAGCCTTGCAAAATTAGTGTCTCCCTAAAAGCCCCAGTTCCACCCACATTTCTCAACCACCCCTCTTTGTTGGTATCTACACTCCCTTCTAATGGCTTCTTGAGAACAGAACAAAAGCAACAAGGTGAGGTGGTGGGAAATGAAACTGAATTCCAACTTTATCCTTCTCCGATGACTCGGTAGTTAACACAATGTAACAGACATATTTCTTAACCTCTCTGAACCTCAGGTTCCTCGTCAATGAAATGGACTTAACACTGACCCCCATATTTTGGGGGAAGCAAAGCACGATGTCTGGTATACAGATGATGCTTGATAAATGTTACTCTTCCCTTTCTCTTTGAAAAGTCAAAAACATATGGCCTGAGTCCCAAGACTCCGCGTGATCTGGTTCACTCTCACCCTCTCCCTCTCCCTCCAGGCACTGGGCTTCCCCCCTATTTTTTGGACAGCCCAAGCACATTGCTGCCATGGGGTCTTTCGCCACTACTGCCTTTGCTAGGTCATTCTCCAGGTGTCCACATGGCTGGTTCTTTCCTTGAATGCAATCTCTGTTTAAACTCCTTCTCCCCAACCATCTGCATACAGATAGAGACCGATTCTACTTTGTAGCTAGAGGCAAGATTCTCATCTCTAGTGGTCAAGTTTCTGTTCTCCGTGTGCTCTAGGAATCAGGTCCTCATTAAAGAAAATGAAAGGCAAGCTCCACTTTAGAACCCGGTGCCTCTGGCCCCCTAGCTGTGCCCTGTAGTGGAAGAGGGCAGGGAAGGGGCGGAAAGAAACTGGACAGAACCTGAGGCTGGTGTTTGGAACCCATCCCCACTCCTCACACAGCTTTCTCCATCAGCCAGCAAAGAGGCCCAGGACCCACGTAGAGGCAACCCAGAGAGCGATGCAGGTGCCCCGAAAGGACCGTCTCAGGTCCTTGGCTCCCAAAATGATGGTGCATGACAGGACACAGTGAGGGGGAGATTGGGCCCTGGACACCCAGCAGCTGAGGCGGGGCTCTAATGTCCGGTCCCAAGCACAAAGCCCAGGCACGTGCAGGGACCCGGAGTCTCGTCATCCTCCACAAGCGCCCTACCTTGTCTAAGATCTTCCCTCACCTGTCACCTGCCTTGGGGCAGAGACCTAACCTTGCTCAGTGGGAATTTCTATCCCGGACCTGCATCCACACGGTCCCCGGACCAGCATCCACACGGTCCCCGGACCAGCATCCACATGGTCCAGGGTGTCCTCTCCACACCTGCTCACAAAGTCTCGGGACTGTGCCTGATGCCTACCTTCCAGTCCCTTCTGCCCACCATTCATGCCAGTGAGGTGGGCACCCTGCCCCCGCCACTCCACGCCTCTCCCACGAGCCACCAGAAACAAGACACCCAACAAAATCCCTTTCCAAGCAAGGTCAACCCTGCCAAACATGTCTTTCTACTCAGTATCATTTGGAGGTGCAGCAGTATCACATCCTGCCCCCCTAAACGCTGCCTCAATTTGCTTTTCCTCTAAAAAAAAAAGTCCCCAGGAAAGTCACGCCTGTGTTTCCCTGCACCCCGAGGTGTAAATGTCCTTCCTGGGGGTGGGTTTGGATAAGGGCTGGAGGAGACTTCCTGAAACTGTGAAGCTGCTCCAGGAATGCCAAAGTCAAATTGCAGGGGGTGAATCTGAACCTCTCTCCTCAGCAGATTAAACTCTGGGTGTTTGCTTACCATTCAGATGCACTGAACTGAACACCCCCGACTTAACAAGAAGATAAAGAGATAGGAATTGGTAATTCATCACCAAAAAGCCACTGCACCAATCTCCTGCCTCTTGTCCTACCTCTTCTCCCCTTGATCGGAAATGAGTGTCCAGGAAAGTGCTCGGGCATCCCTCGCCTTCCCCATCCTGGGAGAAAAGGATCAGCTCTGGAACCACCATTCCAGGTTCACTTGGGGTCACGAATCCCAAGGGGTAAGAGGCCATGTCCTTCACTCCCAGCCCCTCTGCCTTCTACAACTTGTCAGGACCAGGGTCCCCGGCAGGGGGGACTCACCGCTCAGCCCGGGGGTGGCCATGGTGCGGGCGCGCAGGGCAGGAAACCGGGACTGCCCCGCTGCTGGGGCTGCTCTGGCGTCTGCTCTGGCTTATTCAGTCGCGGGACTAATTCCATCGCAGCTCAGCTCCGTCTGGACGTGCCCGCCCCAGCCTGCTGCCGCTGCCTCCTCCCCCATCCCTCGCCAGCGGCTACCAGGCCTCCCCGGAGCTGCACCCTAGGCGCACCGGCGCTGGTCGCGCCACGTGGAGAAAGGAGGGCGTTGCCGTGGGCCGGCTGAGTCCGGGACACGCTCCGGTTAATGAAGCTGAGGGGCGAGACAGTAAGACCGCTGCTCTCCCCACCCGGGGAGCTGCCTGCTAACCTGGTTCGGGTGTGAGCATTCAGCCGGATTATCTCGTGAACAGCCTGGCTGATTAGCTTCCAATTCCGCCCGGGAAGCCTGCTTCCCGCCGCCCTGGCCCTTATCGCCTGGGTAGAGGTGGGAGGCTCCCCCGCAGGCCTGCCTGCACTCTACCCGCCACCAGATGTCCCCAACTTTCTCTAGATTAAAAGGCGCAGGAGTGGAGGAATCGTGCCCCAGGGACAGGAAGAGGGACTGCAAGAGGCAAGGGGAGGGGCTTGGGGAGGCAAGGGGTTTTAGCAAAGCTTCCCAGGGAGACGCTGGGACCAGCTGAGGAGGTAGATGGTGGAAGCTCCATTCCAGGAAAAAGAGGAGTTCCATCTCTCCGGAATGGCTTTGACATCTAGCCATGGGCAGGGGGATGGAAGAGAAGACCTCCAAAGGGCCATTCTGGATGATGGAATCTACAATTCCAAGACGCCCCCAAGCGAAACTAGTGCATTAATACCAGGGACCCTGAAAATGAAAAGGTATTATAACATTATATGTCAAGTAGGCTCTGAATGACTTTCCTATCTCCTATGCTGATAAGGTGGGCTGGTGGGGACTGCTCCCCACTTTATAGATAAGGAAACTGAGGCAGTAAAGGGGAGTCAGGGGCTGAGCAGAAGGAAAACCAAAAGCAGTGTGTGCCAACCTGGGCTGTATCCTGGGCACCAGGAGTAACCATGGCTGACGTGGATGTGGACTTCCTCGCCCTCAGCATCCTTCTCAGAGCCTCCCCCAGAGGAATTATCTAATTCTAGTAACAAATCTATGAGGGAATTACTGCCTGTGTGCCCATTTCACAGATCAGGAGACTGCAGTGTAAACGGTCAGGCACCGTGCCTCTGAGGACTTGCCTGCTCCAGAGCCTGTGCTCTAACACTTGGTTCCTGGCTGCTTGAGACAACACCCTTCTCCATTCACTTCTGGGAACCTTCTCTACGTGTTTTCAATGCCAGGAGGATTGGAAACCTTTCCACCATGGTGGTTCCTTATCCATTCCCTCTCTTCTCTCCCTCCCGCACTGTTTTAGTCCCTTGGTCCCTGCATACTCCTCCCTTAAGACTCCCCCTAAGACTCTCACTTTGGGGACTGTCCCATCTGGTCTAAGGGTGACAAAAAAGAGAGTGCCTGAGACCAGAGGCAGACCCACCCTGGAACACATGCAGAATGGGGACAGCTCCTGGCTCATACCCCCACTACCAGTTTCTCCTTTTTACCCTACTTCCTGCATTTTTTTTTAAATCAAAATATGCAATTTTTCTGACTCAGCTTTTTTCTTGGCAGTGAACTGTACTATCAGTAAATATGAGGGGAACTCAGGCTATGGAGGCAGTTAGAAAACTGACACCTTCTGCTGGAGAGGCAGACTCCCTGCTAAGTTCCTCTGTGGCGATGCCTCCAATGGCGTCTCGTCCCCAGGTGGAGCATTAGGCCATCAGTCAGAAGGGAGACAGGTAATTCTCTGGCCCTGGATCTGGTTTCCTACAGAGACCATAGAGGCACTCAAAGTTGGAGGTGGGGTGATGGATGGAGGATGACAGCCTTGGAATTATTGAGCAGTTACATAAAACTTCTATCCATTCTTCCTTCCCTCTACCCGGCTAAACTCTCCACCAGAACGACTCAACACAACCCATGCCATTTGCCTTTAATGTATCTTCCCTGGAGGTTCTTCCCCAGCAGTGACAGAAGCAGAAAGACCTAGAAATGCAGCCGTCACTGGTTCCTGTGAGAACAGGGCCGAATCTGTCAGCACCAGGGACGTGCGGCTCTGATGCACCAGCTCCGGAGTTCCTGCCCAGGTGTCCAGGTACTTGGGTTCTGAACCTGACCCTGCCACCCAGCAGCTGTGTGACCTTTGGCAAGTTACTCAAGTTCTCTGAGCTGCTTTCATCCACTGCAAAGGGGCAGGAGAGGGCAGTGGATGAGATGTCTAAATCCTTTCCAGCTCCATGGTCCAGTATGTTCAATGAGTTGAGTCTCTCCTGGGCTAGGAGGATCCAGCATGAAAGTCAATCTTCCATCAAATTCCTGTCTCATAGCCAGGACAGTTGCTTTATTCTCATGGGTGTGCTCTCCCCACCTAGAGTTTCTGCCATCTTGCCAGCATATACATGTAAGCTTTTTTCATAAAAGTCTAAGAAAGGTGATCTCTCCTTGAGAGTGACAGCAGTGGTTAGTGATTTGGGGACCCGGTGAGGTCTGGAGTTACCTACACCTCTTCTATCCACTAAAGGATCCTGGAGTGGGCAAGGCCTTGGCCTCCAGCATCCAGCCCAAAAGGAACTCAGCTCCCTCACCCCTCAGAACAAAGGAAATCCTCAATGCTCTGCCACTGACGGTAGGGACACTTAGGGTTTCCCTTTGAAGCTTGATTTCCCCGTTTTTCTTCTGGTCACTTTTTCCGTTATTAGAGAGCAATTCATAGTTACTCCCGGACTTTCTGGCTTATTTGACCCTCCCAGCCGAGTGAGTGAGACTGACGTTCGTGGTTCCAGTTGAGGAAACTAAGTCTGAAAACCGCTAAGGGGCTTGCTGAGGCCACACAGTCCGGCGAAGGCCATGGGTGGAACCTGGGCCGCCCCCGAGTCTGGGGGTCCCTGGCCACGGCCACGCCTGTGCCGCGAGGGACCACGTTCCCGCACATGCCCAGCACCGCGTTTCCAGCCCCCCAGCCCCCAGCCTCTCACCCTCCCACGGGGGCGACTGAGGAACACAGGCACTGGCTCAGCTGAGGGCTCAGAGAACCCCTTGCACACCCACTGGGGCCCCTTCCCCATCAAGTCAGCCACACTGGCCAGAGCCTGGCAGGAGCCTGGCTCTAGGGACTCCTCTGCTCTGCCCAGAAGCCCCTGGATTCAGAGACTGGAGACCCCAGTGTTCCAGAGCAAATCCCTTCTCCTTCAGCCACTGGGCTGTTTCCAAGGAGGCCTGGCGCTCACTTTCCCCTTCCCTCCCCATGGACGCTGAGCTGCCACTTTCTCCCCGACGTGGGCGGTGCCTCCCGCAGACCCCGGGGCTCAAGTGTTTCCAGATGGAGCCTGTGCTCCCCTACCCCCCACCCGCTTCGGCACCAGCCTCAGAGCTCCAGCCCAGCCTACAACAGCCATCTCAGCCTAGATGAACCATGAGCCTTTGGCAAGATGACAGGTTGGCCTTTATTGTGGGCCCGGGGAAGCCCGGGAGCGGAGCACGCATGCGCCAAGCAGGGGTTGCCAAGCGGGTGGTGACGGGTGTCCGCGGCAGGACCGCGCCTCACTGGCGGCACTTCCTGGGGGAGCACTTGCACTGCATGGCGTTGAGGACCACGTGGTGGATGACGGAGCCGTTGGCGCAGCGCAGGGGCACCTGCATGGGCTCTGTGCGTGTGGGCGCGCAGCAGGCGCACTGGTCCTGCACGTCCTCTGTGTCGATGGAGTACAGGGCTTTGCTGGTGCATCTTCCCTATGGCAGGGCAGAGAGAGGCGGCCGTTGCGGGCGGTGGAGAGTGCCAGGGTGGGGAGGGCTCTGGGGCAGCCCACTTCCTCCACCTGCCCTCCTCCAATCAAGAAGGTCTGGCCTTGCCCGGAGAAACACGGGACAGCCAAACAACGTGTAAAAGAGCTCTCGGGAGGTCTGAAAGGCCTGTCCTAATGGAACTGTCACACCCAACTCCCATCTTCCATTAAGCAACTCTCCATTCTCTTCAGAGGACGTGTTGAATCATTGCTCGGTTTTTTTCTTCTAGGGTCAAAAGTTCCCATTTACTTCAATAAAACATAGGCTTTTTAAAAAAATTTTAAAAGCTCCCAGTTCCTTTCACTTCTCCCCCCTGTGAATTTCCCAGATCCTTCGACTCTGTAACTAAAGAGACGTGACCAAACAAAGAACTTGCCCCTCCTAACCGAGGACCCCTTACCTCGCAGTAGTGAATGTCCACTTGCTCTTCAGACAGACAGTCTCCCACTTTGACGTACTGCAGCTTGGCAGTGATGTCCTTGCACTCGGGCTCCTCACCTACAGGACAGGTGAGAGATGGGACCTGTTCTTCCACACAACACTCTCCAGCCCAGTTCCCTCATTTACTGGAAATAGGTCAATTTCACAGTAACCGGATCACCAAAGCCAGCCATGGGGAAGGCAAGTCAGTGGTCCTGGTTCCCCTCAGCTTCTCCTGGCCCTTCATATTCAGAGATATAGTTATCGCTGGGTTTAACTCACTTAATGGCACAATTTTAATTGCAGGAGGAGCGTAGATTCACTGTGCTTTGGTGATGTCAATGGATAGGACTTACTTTTATGTAATTGTAGACTCTAAAAACCATGATGAATAAATAAGGAAACACAAGCTTTAAATGACACATTAAACAAGCTGGACATAATTGATATTTATAGGACATTCCATCCGAAAACAACAGAAAACACTTTCTTCTCAAGCGCTCATGGAACATTCTCCAGGATAGATCATATCTTGAGTCACAAATCAAGCGTTGGTAAATTTAAGAAAATTGAAATCGGATCAAGTATCTTTTCCAACCACAACGCTATGAGACTAGATACCAATGACAGGAAAAAAAAAACTGTAGAAAATACAAACACATGGAGGCTAAATAATACGTTATACTAAATAACCAAGAACTCACTGAAGAAACCAAAGAGGAAATCAAAAAATACCTAGAAACAAATGACGTTGAAAACACGATGAACCAAAACCTATGGGATGCAGCAAAAGCAGTTCTAAGAGGGAAGTTTATAGCAATACAATCCTACCTCAAGAAACAAGAAACAACTCAGATAAACAAGCTAACCTTACACCTAAAGCAATTAGAGAAAGAGGAACAAAACCACCCCCCCCCAAAGTTAGCTGAAGGAAAGATCGCAAAAATCTGATCAGAGGGCTTCCCTGGTGGCACAGTGGTTAAGAA